AAAACTAATCTACAAGACATCCACCCTTCCACCAGCACATGTTCTCTTGTAGTCTAATCTATTACCATCCTCCCTCACTCATAATAAGTACATGTTCTGTAATAGCTACACAATAAAAATCGTGACTTGCATACTGAAGTCCGTGTTATTAACATATATCAAGGAAAGCAGTGGCCCCAGTACCAACCCTAGGAGAACATCAGTATAAAATCCAGTCAAAAACAACAATCATTCATCAATACTACATTTAATCTCGCTCAATCAACTTTGCTTCCATGTTATTGCTGAATATTTGATTTTAAGGGCTTCAATCATGCTGGAAAGCACAGTAAGTAGAATTCGATGAAACGCTTCTTGTAAAACCATGTGCACCACTTCAATCACATTGCTGTCTACCACCTTCTCTTTTACTCATGAAAAAACTTAACCATGTTAGTGAAATATGATTTGCTTTTTAAAAAAATCAGTGCTTTCTTTAATTAATCCCCACTTGCTTAAATCATTGTACAGTTTGTCCCAGATAAGCATTTCTAAACACTTCTCTGTCATTGAGATTCAAATGACTGGCCTACAATTGTTAGGTTTATTCATACATGCTTTTTTGAAAAAGGATGCACATTTGTAATTTTCAATCCTCTGGCACCACTCCTATACCTAAGGAAGATAAAGGATTAATTCTGGTGCCTCCATGTCTTCTACCTATCCATCCTAAGAATCATGAAGTGCAAACCATCTGGTGCTGGTGACTTTTCAAAAAAGTACAGACAGCCTTTCTAGTACCTCATATCAATTTGGAGCCTATCTAGTATCTCAACTATCTTCTCTTTCACTCTGACTTTGGCAGCATCTTCTTCCTTGAAAAAGACAGATATCAAATTATCGTTTAGTACAAAAACAAAATATTGTAAAGTTGGAAATCTGGTGCAAAAATTGAAAATTTTGAAATATTCAGGAAATCTGGCAGCATGTACGAAGAGACAAACGGTTGATGTTTCATGTTAGTGACCTCCTGTCAGAACAGAGAAAAATTAAACATGTAATAGATTTTGTGCAAACAAAAAGGGGGAAGGTGGGAAGAACAAAAGGCAAGATCTGTGATCAAATGGAGGGCAAGACAAAAGGTTTAATAATGCAAAGCTGAAGGGAGTGATAATGGAAAAATCAAAGGAACAAATAAGATGTGCCTGCAGAGATGTAAATGGCAGGATGCTGATGTGATAATGCTGTCACCTTAAGAGGTTATTTTGTCCTTTTTTTTTGAAGAGGTAAGGTGGATGTAGTGAGCAAGCTACTAAAGACCACTTGAATAAACAGCTCGGGAGGTCTTGGGTATTTTTGAAATACAGCCTAAATGTTGCCAGGTCAAAATGCTGAAATCAAAATCTGTTCCTCGAGCTTGTGTTGACCTTCATTGGAAAACTGTAGCAGGCCTGGGACAGTAAGTTGCTTGTTTGTGAAAGATGGAGAATTGAAATGAAAGGCAGTGGGAAGCTCAGGATCGCAATCGCAGACCATAGGACATTGGAGCAGAAATAGGCCATTCAATCCTTTTGTGTCTGCTCCACCATTCAATGATATCATGGCTGACCTCATACTTTTCTTCATTTAACCCCATAGCCCTTGGTCCCATTATTAATTAAAAATCCGTCTGTCTAAGCCTTGAATATACTTAATGACCCAAGATCAACAGCCCTCTGTGGTAACGAATTCCACAGATTGACTACCTCTGATTTTAAAAAAAAGAAGTTCCTCATTTCTGTCTTGACCACTTACTCTGAGATTATTCCCTTGTCCTGTACATTCCACAAGTTGACACAACTTCCTGCATCTAGCCTATCAAGCTCCCCAATAATCTTATATGTTTCAATAAGGTATCTTCTCCTCCTTCTAAACTTGAATGAGTAAAAGTCTGAGTCTACACTCTCTATATCTAAGAAAATCTTTCCATACCCAGAATCAACCTAATGAACCTTCTCTGGACTGCCCCTTTACCAGTATATCTTTCTTTGGCTAAGAGGCCCAAAACTGTTCACAGTAATCCAAGTGTGGTCTGACTAATGCCTTGGATAGTTTTAGCAAACTCTATCTAATTTTATACTCCACTCCTTTTGGAAATAAATACCAACATTCCATTTGCCCGCTGAATTTGGATGCCAACATTTTGTGATTCATGGACAAAGACTACCAAATCCATCTGTTTCTTAGGTTTCTGCAGTCTTTCTCCATTTAACTAGTATTCAATTACGGTGTTCTCCCTGCCAAAATGCGTAACCTCAAATTTTCCCACAGTGTATTACATCTGTCAAGTTTTTCCCATTCTTTTAACCTGCCTATATTCCTCTGCAGACTCATTGTGCCATCCTCATTACTTGTCTTCCCACCTCTTTTCATGACAGCCGCAAATTTGGCTTCCACTTTTATATTGCAAATAATCCTAGCCGCAGCACTCATTCCTGTGACACTCTAATGTTTCAGCTTGCTATCCTGAAAATACTCTCTTTATTCCAAATCTTTGTCTTCTATTAGTTAACCAATCCTCTTTCCATGCTAATGTACTTCCCTCAACATCACGGGCTCTTATTAAACAGTTTATGTGCAATACCTTCTCAAATACCTTTTGGATATCCAAATATATTATGTCAACTGGTGCCCCTTTATCCATCCTGCTTGTTACTGCCTTGCCACTACCTTTTCAAAGGCAACTAGGAATGGGTGATAAATGCCGGCCTAGGCAGCGACACCCACATCCTAGGAGTGAATTGTTAAAAAAAACTGTGATAATGTAATAAATTCATCTCGAATGATCGTCCATTCATGAAGCCATGCTGGCTGCTTAATGTTATTACACATTCCTAAATGCTTGTTATTACATCCTTGATAATAGACTAACCTTTTCCCAATGATAAATGTAAAGCTAACATAAGCTAAGCCTATGGTTACCTAAGATAACAAGGTGTAGAGCTGGATGAACATAGCAGGCCAAGCAGCATCATAGGAGCAGGAAGGCTGACGTCTAGGCCCGAAATATCAGCCTTCCTACTCCAATGATGCTGCTTGGCCTGCTGTGTTCATCCAGCTCTACACCTTGTTATCTCAGATTCTCCAGCATCTGCAGTTCCTACTATCTATGGTTACCTATTTTGTTGTCTCCCTCATCTTTTAAATAAGGGTGTTACGTTAGCAGTTTCCAATCCTTTGGGACTTCTCCCAAAACTAAGGATTCTTGGAAGTACTACCAGTGCATCCACTATCTTTGCAGCTTCTTCTTTTAAAGTACTAGGATGTGATTCATGAGTTCTTGGGTCTCATTAGCCTTTAGTCCTACTGGTTTCCCCAGTTCATTTTTTCTAGTGACAGTTAATGTAATTTCCAGCCCCACTTTTGCCCTTGGATTATTTAGTAGTATTGGAATCCTATTAATGTCCTCCACTGTTTTTATTCCAGTCTTCTGCCAATTCCTGGTTTCCCATTATTATTTCCCAAGCCTTATTTTCTAATAGGCGATATTCACTTTCGGCCCCTGGTTCCCTTTCCATATGTTTAAAGAAGGTCTTAATGTCCATGTTTATGTAGAGTCATAGAGATATACAGCACGGAAACAGACCTTTCGGTCTAACTCGTCCATGCCAACTCAGAAATCCTAAATAAATCTTGTCCCATTTGCCAGCATTTGGTCCATATTCCTGTAAACCTGTCCTATTCATATGCCTATCCAGATGCTTTTTAAATGTTGTAATTGTACCAGCCTCCACCACTATCTCTGGCAGCTCATTCTA